CGCAGTGTGTCCATACGATTGCCTCCCTTCCACTCGACTTAGAGCCATGCAGCTTGTACTCGCAGTGTGTCCATACGATTGCCTCCCTTCCACTCGACTTAGAGCCATGCAGCTTGTACTCGCAGTGTGTCCATACGATTGCCTCCCTTCCACTCGACTTAGAGCCAATCAACCTGTACTCGCAGTGTGTACACACGATTGCCTCCCTTCCACCTTCCACTCGATCCCACAAAACAAAATGGAAGAATATCTTCCCCTTTCCAAAGTTGCAATTAATGTATAACTTTTCAACCACTCAGTGGGGAAGACATGGAATAACATCCCAGAGGCTGCCCAGGATAGAGAAAGGTGGAAAGCTTTTGTTCGTGGCCTATACCCTGGTGCAGGGTGAGAAAGGCAATGATGAACCATTCAATGATATACCCTACATTCTCCCCCCCCCCCCCCAACCTCCAACCCCCTTAAAAAAAGAATCTTTATTTACATCACTCAGGTCTCCCCTCTTACATTTTCCTGCTAATGAGACACAGCGTCATCAGAAGACAGAATTTCTGTGGGACACTTCTAAAACATGGCATCAGTGGTCAAGGGGTTAGGTTACCAGACTGGTAGTCCTGAGGTTGTGGGTTCTCAGGTTTATTGAGGCTCAGCTCCGCTTTTAAAAATGTAGTGCCCTTAGGGAAAGGCACTTGACAAAAATTGTACTCACTTCTCACAGATCTGCTAAAAAAGCTGACAAAACCCCCTTTTTTCATTATTGGCACCAATTTTTGTATTTGTTAAATCAAAAGCCTGATCAGTTCCCCTACTTGTGGGAAAAAATCAAAGGGAAACTGCGTCTAGTTTTAAAAAAGTTAGAATTCAAATTTCGGACGATCGTTATTTCTCAATAGTTACATGGACAAAAGTATCCAAGCGGCTGCGAATTTAAAAAAGGCGTTTAGCCAGCGTACAGCAGAGGTAGGTGTGAATGGGTACCCGGCCATAGACAGTAAAAGATCTTATTGTTAAGTTAGGGTTTTAGCGCCTGTAAAATGACAGCTTGTGTTGGGTGCTTCCTGAGAAGCCAAGAAGGTTTCCGAATATTCTTAGGTCCTGCAGGGGTAATAATACTGATTGTGAAACATGTAGGGCTTGTCGTGGATCATGAACACCTATGTGCTCAAACTACACTCAAAGTAAGCATTGTTATCATTATCATTGTCATTGTTATTATTCTTATTATGAGTCCTACTGAGCTAATTAGTAATAACATAGATTGAGAAGCCCGTTGAGCTTGTTATGGATCACACATATAATGTATTAATATACATATATATATATATAGAGAGAGAGAGAGAGAAAGAGATCTATGTGCTATATAATAAAAGCAAGTTCAGTACAACACAGATAGCCCGAATTCGTCGCGACCGGCCTCGGTAGTTCCCGGGATCCGTAGTTCACCGGATATCTTACGGAGACAAAGAAGAAGAAAAAACGTGACTGCAGGCACAGTTCGACGCATGCGTGATATCAAGTCTTCTGCGTTCGACTTATCAGTGTTATACTGTATTATCATCATTATCATTATTGTTATTATCATTATTGTTATTACTATTGTTATTGTTATAGAAATGTTTCATAAAGCAGTTTTGGAATCTGTCATCAAAACTTTGGATCGTGAAACGATTAAAAGTACAATAATTACAAATGGTGACGACTGCCCCAAGTCGAAGAAGAGATAGAGGCGTCTAAAACGCGACACACCGGTGACTTTTCAAAATAGCACAACCTGCTCAATGCATAGATTAAGGGATAAATTAGGGCTTGGTACAGACCCAGTGCATTTGATCATCTTTGAACTTCCCCAGATGTTGACATTTTAGTTGCTTTACTTTTTAAAAAAATAGTTTTAGCAAGTGGTTTGCAGCACTTGCAACACAAGTAAGTCAAATAAGTACCGAAGATTAGAGGAGTTACACGCGAGGAACATACACAAAAAAGAAGGAGATATAAGGACGACGAATGTTTGATAGGAATGAATTAGCAAACCACACCAGAGCACCCGACAACCACCCACTTCAGTCAGCATTTTAGAGCACATTTGAGCTCACAAAGACCTCAAGAGTGCCCCTTGTCTAGTCCTGAACCAAACATTGAGCCCAATGTGTACAACAACAACACATCCCCCCTGTGTGTACAACAACAACACATCCCCCCTGTGTGTACAACAACACATCCCCCCTGTGTGTACAACAACACATCCTCCCTGTGTGTACAACAACAACACATCCTCCCTGTGTGTACAACAACACATCCCCCCTGTGTGTACAACAACAACACATCCCCCCTGTGTGTACAACAACACATCCCCCCTGTGTGTACAACAACACATCCCCCCTGTGAGTACAACAACACATCCTCCCTGTGTGTACAACAACACATCCCCCCTGTGTGTACAACAACACATCCTCCCTGTGTGTACAACAACAACACATCCTCCCTGTGTGTACAACAACACATCCCCCCTGTGTGTACAACAACAACACATCCCCCCTGTGTGTACAACAACAACACATCCCCCCTGTGTGTACAAC